AGAAAAACAGAAAATCTTGATATTGGAAAAAAAAAATATAATTCAATTCAAACATTTAAAAATGGCAATTTTAATAACAGATTTAGTATTGATAATCGTAGAATAAAAGCAGTATATTTAAAGATTTTTAAATGATATTTAGATTAAAGACATATATTAAAATAAAAATGTTGGAAAATATTCATTATCTATGATATTAACGTATTCACTGCCATATATAAATACTTAGCAAGGTAAACCGGATGTTACACATTTTGAAGTTGCAGTCCTTATGTTACAAATAGTTAATAAGTCGATTATAAAAAGAAAATATACCAAATAATTAAAATTTATGTGATAACCGTTACGATATAATTTAAATAATTTGATGGCATTAGTCTGAATGTCTTATTTATTATTTATTTTATTAATATTATTCTTGATTATAAAAATTTTCAATATTAATACTTTTAAGAAATACGCATGAACATTTTCGAAAAACTGAATTAATTGATAATATAATAATATTTAATAGATTTGAACAATTCATAAACAGATGTAAAGAGAATGACTTCTTTCATTGTATAGTTTTAAATATCTTTTAATGCAACAAATAATAAAGCTATTTCAGATAATAATCTGTATCATTTTTCCGCGATAAATTTATGAATAAGAATACTTTCTGCGTCCTAAAGAAATATTGTATAATCACAAAAAGAGATGTTAGAAATTGGTAGTGAATAAGTTAATATGAAACCTTCCTGACACACTAATATTTAATAATATTTTTTATATGAAAAAATAGATAAATTTTTCTTAAATAAAGAAATCTCAAGGCATTGTTAACAGTAACCTTGGTTATAGTATGAAAAAATTGATTTATTTCTCGAATCTCCGATATATATTATTATATATACTAAAATAATATATAATTATTTCACTTTTCATTTTTTAAATAGCGAAAAGAATTCAGGCCTACAGGCTTTTATTAGAAAATATTAGAGAAATGGGCAAAAATCTTTCTTATTCTAATAAGAAGGAATAATAAAGGACTATTTTCAATTTATTTGTAACGAATATATAATATTCATATTATTTATAGAAATTATTATTATTCGTATGAAAAAGAATGACATTATTTAAGTAACCTTATCTAGATAAACAATCATTTAAACGATCAAGTAAATTAGATATTATTTAAATAGCGAATTGAACAAAAATTATATAATATGATGCTCAGCTCTGATATATTGCTTAATGTTATGTATGCATATTATATGGAAGATTCTACCCGTTTTACAGTTAAAAAAAAACCAATGTAAAAAATATACACTGAATAACCATGTGCAATGCTTGGCATAGATAAAAACTTTTATATTCTATGTATTATTACATACACCCAAAATCGAATGAGCAAAAATTTTGCTAAAAGAAATCTTGTTTTCTGAATTGATAAATATATTAATTTTATTCGTGCTCGCGTATCTTTAGCTTATGTTTTATAAATATGTATTGCAATATTGTCATTGGCCTATAATTTTAACAGAATTGCCAGCGTTTAATATGTTAAATTAAATACTGTGAATGCGTATGCGTATATTTAAGAATATATATTTATCCAAAGAATATATATTTTTAAGATTAACCGTTAAAGATATTTTAATTAGATTAGGGGCAAAATGTATAATCGAGCTTTTTGTTATAATATCTCTATAGCCACACACACGGTTTTTATAATATAATCCATAACTTTTTCTCGTGCCAGAATTATTTCATTATAATTGGGAGAGAGGTAATTTGATAAGATTAACATTTTTTTAAATTTAGAAACAATGTAATTAAAGACTGTAATGAAAGAGAGTGCGCGCGCGCGTGTGTGTGTGTTATCGAAAGAAATGAACGTGTTTAATCGAGCATTTCTGTAGAACATATTGTCCGTTTTACAAATGCAAGTAGAATGTGACAAAAAAACGCATAAATTTGTTTTATAACGATGTTCAGAGCTTAAAGATATAGTTTAGGCTTTTTTGTGCTATATACAAGTACATATTCTTAAAATGAATACGACCGACAACAGCGATAGTGTCATCACGTCAATCTTCAATATGCAATATAGCAGCCTGTATTATAACTACATACATCGAATTGAATTTCTATTAATACGTGTGTGTACGTAAGTTTGAATGCATGTATAGACATATGTATTATATATGCCATACCACATACGTATGTACCTTAACTACAAGTAATAATATAAGAGCTTCTTATCAGTAGGCCATCAAAAGTTGAAAACGTGTCTCAGCGCTCGTGTAACAGTGATTTCACATATGCCTATCATTTCTTAATTGCTTTTAAATATGACAAATCCATAATAAATATAACTATTTGTTATATGAAATGCATTTAACGTAATCTCTTAAATGTTATTATTAATCAAATCAACATTTTATGCGATCGGCCTCGATCCATGTTAGCAAATGTTTCCATAAATTTTTGTGTACATACAACTGTTATAATCTAAAACGAAATCTACATCAATTACGTCTGTTAAAATTCACGGTTGTGAGACATGTTTTGTAATAGATTCATAATGAAATTATCGAAAGGAATCTATAATTTGTACGTTTGTTTCTATTTTATTCTAGTGTGTATAATAAAAGAAGCCTATATATGAAATAGGGAAGACATTTATTTTTATACAGTGTCTTCTTGATGTTTAAAACAGCACAAAATATAGTGAATTATATTATGTACATTATACGATCATTGTATAATATTTATTTCATAATTCTAACACAGCCTTTCAGATGTCATGTGATATATACTTTGAAAAAAATATTTTTAAATCCATTTATACTTAGCTGTACATACAAACATGCTCCCGTTTTACTCATTTCGCTTCACATCAGATATTATGTGGATTTATAAAATATACACTATGTTATAAAAATCGTATTGTTTCATTTATTAAATCCTGTTCAAATAATGTCGATAACAATTAAATATAATTAAACCTTATTAATATACTAATAATGATGGCAAGATTACGCACGATGACAACAGTAATGAAAACAAAACGATAATCACAATAACGGCATTAACGTTTATTTGTAAAATATATGTAGTTATGTTTATGTATATACAGGGTGGATACTAAATACGCTAAAAGATTTTAAGGGGTAATTTGTAACACAAATTTAAGACTAAAACTTCATATGACGATTTGTCCGAAATGGCTTAATTTTAAAGATATAAGGCTGTTATTTTTGAAATATCAAAGTTGTAAAAATTTCGTTTTTTCCAAAAATATCAAAAATCGTTCGAGTCATTTTGATGTAACTTGGTATATGTTTAATGGACATGAATTATCTTTTAGAGGACTATATATTATTGTTTTTATTCAATATATCAGGGCCAAAGAATAAACAAGACCCCCTTTTATTACGAAAAAAAACTGATACGTCATTAATTTTTTTTTAGTTTGAAAATTTTTTATAATAAATGGGATAAATCCACAGAAAAAAGTTATTTTTAACATTTTCAATAGAATAAGCCATTTTCGAGAAAAAAAAATAAATTAAAATTCGTAACTGCAAATAACAAAGTCATTTTATTTGATCAATTACAATAAAATAAAAAGCAAAAAATTAAACTCTTTGGTATACACTACCCCTATTCAAAATGCTCAACATCTCAGAAATCACATAAAGGCTCAATACAAAATTATTCAAAATACGCCTGGAATCTTTTGGTAGGTGCGTCAATCGATGCAAAAGAAGAGCGAATGTTTGCACTATGACATAAGGCGGCTACATTCAATATTTACTTTAGAATTTAATTTTTCGCTTTTCATTTAAGTGCACTTTGAGTCACAATGAGATTTATGGCAACGATTGTATATTATGATATATTGCACATACATAGTGTCCCAGTTTAAAGGATTCACTCAAATATCTCGGAAGCCATTGGAGATTGTTCTTATTTTTATTTTCATTTTTGCACTGAGAATTCATTTTTACATAAAAATGAAAACAAGAGGTATAACCTCCAATAGTCTTGATCTTGACAAATGTTATTCAGATCATGATCCTGAACATTTAAAAAATTTTAGCTGTGTTCAAAATTGTCGTCCGGATGCACCCAGATATTATTTTATCCTTGTTGTTCACGAATGTTGAAACAAAAATAAAAGAACATCTGGGCAGGGTTGGAAACATATCATACCCTGTGTACCATACATAGATATTCTATGTATGATACTGAAGTATGATACTACTTCACTATTCATACATTTATGTATTATACGTCACATAACCTCATTTTTTAATCCGATAATCTTACTTAGATGTTTGGACTGGCAAAACAAATTTACATTTTACTGCGATGTCAACAATTTAAAATACAACAATATGTAATTATGAAAATTAATTAGAAAATTGTGGCGTAATCAGATTAGATGCACTTTCAAATTAAATCCACGCGATAAGAGCAAAAATTACAATGAATTACTAATATTATTGTATACCAAATTCATGTATGTACTGCACTTACGTTTTCAATATTATTTTCTTTCCGTTTTTTATTTGCAAACTACATTTTTTTAAACTGGAAAGTTTTTTGAGTTATTATCAATCAGCAATATATTTCAAAACTTCAAAAACCTAAAAATATTGTTTTGTAGTCATTAAGAGTAATAAATTAGAGGTTAGGATTATGTTAAAGGTATATAAGTTTGATTCTATGCATGATACACATTTATACGTATCATACGTACCAAACTTCCAGAATGTGTATCAAACCAACTCTGCATCTGGGTGCACCCAGATGAAAATTTCTGAACGCAGCCCAGCATGCATGCTTATCATTCAAGAAATCGAGCATTGTGTGATTCCATCTTAAGTTAATGTCGACTGTACTGTAACTTTCAAGTCTTATAGCTCGAAAAGTACTTAATGAAAAAATAATTTATTACAGCGTTCTGAAAAGCTTTCGAGATAAGCTATAAGAATATGTAATAAAAAATTGGGGATCCCATTTAAAAAATTCAAAGTGACCTTGCCTTGACCTTGACATCACCCAAGATTAAAACCAATCGTACCATCTTATGTCCCTCTTGAAGTAAAAAAATTTTTGTCTGAAACATTTTTCAATTTAACGTAGTGTTTCTGACATATTTGAGTGGATCTTTTAAAATAGATACCCTGTATAATTTCTGCAAATTTGTATTGTAATATTGAGCAACAAGGCCAACAAGTGTGATAATTGCACTTTGTCCGTAGTAATATTTAGCCATCTTAAACAAATTGCCGGATGTCAGTAGGAAATCAATGGATCAGGCGGCAAGTTGTCGACGTCTGGTCAATTCGTGGTCGATTAAGAGCGAGATGTCGGGATGACGGCGCAGAATGGTCGCACAATAATGCATGGTTTGGCTGGGATCGGCACCAGCCTTCAACAGTATTCTGACGGCGTTAGCGAATCCACTCTCGGCAGCAACTTGCAACGCCGTCAAACCGTCAATGTTGACCTTCTCCAATTGCGCTAAGGGTGAGGTGACCAACAATGATACCGTCTGATGAAATCCTCTTGCTGATGCGAGGTGCAATGGAGTATTCCCGCCGGCGTCCTGCGTGCCAGGGTCTTCACCGTGCTCAAGTAGCTTTGTAACCATATCAACATGGTTTTTTCGCGACGCTATATGCAACGGGGTTTCACCGTATCGCGACGTGATGCCTGTTGGCGTGTGCTGTATCAATAATGTCGCTGTGTTTAACGCACCGCACTCCAAACTCTCGTGCAAAGCGGTCTCTCCGCGATCATTCTTCAACGCAGTATCCGCGCCGGCGGCTAGAAGTGTACCAATCAACGATTCGATATCGGTATTGTCATTGTTATCTGTAAGATAATGTGCCATTAAAGCTTTCGCGTACTCTTTTCGTTTGGCGATTGTGAAATGAGTGAGAATAATCATCTGTTATTCGAAAAAAGTCACGCACGTCATTGTTTGTATATATGGAAAAAAAATTGTATAAAAGTACACAGAATTAAAAAGATGTGGTTGTTGAATATAAAATGGCATAATCTTAAAGTTTTTCGTTGACAAAAATATCAAACACCTAACTTTTAATTGTAAGTAAATAAAAAAGTTAAAGGTTTTTTAAAATTAAAAGATTTCCTCCCCCTCCCCCCAAAGAAATAAATGAATAATAAATTAATTCGGTCTTAATCAAGGGATATTTAGGATCATTATGGTCGTACCAAAGATAGTTGATGATGCTAAAATGTGCAAGGCACTTCGACCTTGATGATCCTTAGCGTTAACGGGTCCTGCTTTCGCCAATAATTCTAGCGTCTTCAGAGCCACATCGAAATTATGACGAAGGGATTTTAGCGATGTGTGAGCCAGTTGACGAGACAGCACGTGCAACGCAGTCGATCCACTGCCGGCCTCTTTGACGCCTGGCGGACAGTCGTATTTCAAGAGGTCCTCCACGAATTTCAACACGTTACCCGGTCCGCCGTTCAGGATTACTCTGTGAAGTGCCGTCTCACCCCGCGGTGAACGCACAGCTGGATCGCACCCGTTCGCTAGTAGCGCACTGTAATCCGGCGACAAAAAAATATAAGTTTTTATAACGCATATTTTTTATCATTAAATTTTTAAGGATTATTAATATTACGAATATACAACACGTATATACATTACAACATGAATACGATACGTGTCACGAAAATAAAAATAGCTGTGCTGCATATCATAAGTTATTTTTAACTTTTACGTCAATTTATCAAAGAGAATTTTTATAGCTATGCAGAGATTGTTCGATGTTGCGCGTTAAATTATAATGTTTTGTTTAACATATTACGAAAATATTTTCCATTAATAATTTATCGATAAATCTAAAGTAATAAGTGTCTATAATTATTCTTAAAAATCTTATATGTTTTCGATATAAATTTCTAATATATAACGAATAACATAATGCCTTAAAGATCAATGAATTTACTATTTAAAAAATTAAATATTTTCAATGTTACGATAACTGGTGGATAACCGATTGCCAGAAAGCTCTAAATTGATATAATTTGCAGGAAGGAGAAAGTAAAGCTTACGTAAAGCAATGCGATCTTATATCTAAATGTTTGCGTTCTAGGATTCTAAAAGATCTACCTCAGCACAGGAAGGCAATGATTCGTTGCAGCCATCAATAAGGGTGGATCGCCCGACACGTTCCAATCCGGTTCGTCCAGATTTTGCACGCAACCGTTGGCGATCAACATCGAGACGCGCTTGGCGTTTCCCGATCGTACTGCATCATAAAATGAGTCACTGTCCTGCCGGCTGATAATTTCCCTTTCAAATTCATCTTGTTTCTCATCCGTGTTCAGACAAATTTCCGCTACATTCTCGCAACAAACTCGCACCGCGTCTTCCATCGCGGAATTTCGGAATTTCTCCCCGGGGTGAACACTACTGTCACGTTGTTCCTGCACTTGGATCTGCAGTATGTTTCGATTTTTCTGGTCCTTGTCCTGCTCCCTTCTTGCATTGCACGTGGATGTGCTTTCCGATGCGATATAATCCGCCAATAAAACCGATTTTTTTTCCTTATGCCTTTCATTATCTTCGAAAGACAATTCCCCGTTTTTAGATGTATTCATTTGTGAAATATTTACCAAATTTACAGAGATGCTGATGTTTCCTTCGTCCTTATTTTCTTTTTCTTTCTCAAACATTCCCAGATCCCCATCGAATGATTCACCTGCAGACAGAACGCTGACTTCTACGGAAGAAAAAAGTGTGGATTCTTCGAAAGACGAGTCACCTGTTGCGAGACTGGCTCGAGATGACGACGACGTCTCCTCCATATCAGAGGCAGCGTCCGGGTTGAAAAATACTCGCGCAGTATCTTGCGGACTTGTGGCCTTCTGCTCCTCGCGTTCTGTCGTCGTTTCGTACGCGGAAGTCATTGCGCCCGTACACTTAATTGGCCCTGATTATTTGTTCACGCAATTGGCTCAACGCTCTCAACGCGGAACGATACGCGTGTAATTGGTCTGTGTACTGCGAGAAATTTCGTTTTCGCTATTTAGTCGAATTACGTCGGTAATATTGTACAATAAAACCCGCGCTATATAATAAAAAGAAGCGCAACGAGAGGTCAACGAAACTTGGTGTATTACACCGAACGATCGAGCAGAACTCGAAACGAACAAGAATCGCCGGCGTTTTACGATGCTTTACTAAAAACGTGCCTTTACCGGCTGCCTACACCGGCTTCTCCCCTTTTTCTTTCTCTCTCCTCATCTTCAGCTCCCTCCACTTCTCCATTCCACTGCCATTCTGTCTGTGTGTCGTGTAGCAATGCGTTTCGTCTTCATTCGTTGCCTATGGTTGTCTACCCCACTTCACTAGTCTGCGTGCTTCTTATAATCCTCCTCCTCAGACGAGCCATGGGTGCCGAACCATTGGAATTTAGAGCGATCATGATGATGAACGATCATGGAATTTATTTGAACTCTTGTAACCATAAAAGTTACATTTTTCAAAATTAGAAAAACATTAGATATACATATGTATATTAATAAAAATAATATAACTTTTTTATATTCGACAATTGTCTAATAATAAGCAATCAAGTAATTACGATGAAAATGCTTACGTAATAAAGTAAAAATCATTCACTTTGTGTGTTAAACTCTTCTCTCTTTCATTTTAATTTTAAACAGTATTCACACAGCACATTTTAAATAATACTATACATACTTTCTCTCTTTCCACAAAGAGTGACAAAGTTAATAGCATTCGACAAAACAAATTTTACTCAACCTAGAAATAAAGAAGAGACATGTAATATTTCAAACTACTAAAAAATTGAATTATTTCAGTGTTACTTTACTTACAGTTATTTGTTAGTACAATTTTTCTGCACAACTTGAAAATGTCTGCAAATCAGATCACACCATTTGCTACGCCTATTAACGCGCTGCTTTATTGCCGTTGAGTACTGATAATGCAAAAAAATTTCAAGAGAGAGGAAAACTCGGCGACGTCGTAAGAAAGAGATCAGGATACGCAGATGTTTATATAAACGGGAAGAAGAAAAGGAACTTCTTTTACGCTGTATATATTACACACGTGCTTGTTCGGTGTGGAAATTTGGGATTTTGGTAAGACAAACATTGATTGAATGTATATATGGTACAATCCAATACAAATGCATCGAATGCGTCTAAAAAGCTATCGTTTTATTGAACATCGTTTTACAATAACTTAAATGCGAGCGATGAACATGACGGATTTGAGAAAACCGCGTAGCCGGTAAAATAACAATATATGTTACTGCAACAGTATTTCTTTTCTATATAGAATAATAATCCTTCATTTATATGAAGTTATGATATTCATGTTACAAAGACATGTGAGCTTATACAATATGCTAAATAATAGATTAATCTGTAATTAGTTGAACTATTGAAAAGATTGTAGTTTTCTAATTAAGTCAAAGAAATCCGATAAACATCAAATTAAATCCATATCCACTGAAACAAAAACTTACAATGTATTACGTTCAACGATGGCGATAGAGTATAAGCGATATTTTTTTACTATGTATTTACCATTTATCTGCTTCGCGATCTGGAACCCGATCGAGATTTCGACCTGCTTCGATCTTTGGAAACGGACTTCCGCTTCTTGCGATATTTATCCTTGGCACAAACGCTCCTGCTATGGGATGGGCTGCGTCGTGATGAGCGAGAACGCGAACGATTACTGCGAGATCTTGAGCGGGAACGTGAACGCGATCGCGACCGTGATCGCGATCGTGATTTTGATTTGGATTTTGATCGCGAACGGGACCACCTAAAGTAAAATCCATAATAAATAAATGTTAAAACAACAGCCATACATATATTTTGCCTATCCATTACTACAGAACAATAATTAATATAAAACATAATTTTTAAAAGTAAAGATTATTGATTTTTATGTATTTTTATATAGCTTTTACATATCTCCCTGAAATTATTGACAGCGATCCTTTATCAATAATAATGAAGAAACCTAGTCCTAATAAACCTTTTAATTTATTCTAATCATCTATTAGATAACAAGCTTATCATCTTTTTTACAAATCTTGTAAGTGTAACATTTAGATATATATCAAATTCTCTCTAAAAGGTATAACAAGTAATAATTATCCAAACTGATGTATAGACTCATGAACTTTTAAACTTTACATATTCATAATAGAAGTATATTTAATATCTCTGAGCAATTTCTATTTAACAAGACTATATTCAACTATTTCCATAAATAAATGCAACTACCTTCACAAGTCATGCGCTTATATACAATAACGTAACGTGAATTCATTTATGTTCAAAATTCACTCAGCCATATATAATAATCCTCGTAGAATATACATATACTTTTGACTATTCTACTTATATACCATCTTTCCTGGCTGTGTTTATAGCAGACAATTGTGGATTGCATGCGCGATAGCTGCACCGAGAAGGGAGAGCGGATGAGCCCTTTATGCAGATGAAATTACGAGAGGGTCCGAGATGAACGGATGAAGAGTGGCTAGAGACGAGACCGTTGAAAATTTTGTCTCTCAGTTATCGTTATAAGTATTACGACGATGACGACAACGACGACAACGACGATGATGACGATGATTAGGACGATGAAGACGACGACGACAACGATGACTACGACGAAAACGACGACTAGGCAGAAATCATGGATAGCTGAACGAAGAACACCAGGAGTGCCAGACGTGCATAAACTCTCGATTTAGGGTGATGGTCAGTGGTCAGCGGATCAGTATCGTAGCAGTGCGTAGAACTAGCCACCCCGTGTCCGGTCGGTCACGGCCCATGTTTGCCGCGTTTTCTCGCCCGCAGAGTGTGCAGAGGGAAACCCAAAGTAGATGTGAAGTGCTCTACGCTGTAACTACGACGCGCAGTGTGTGTCACAAACGTGAACCCAAGGCGAATCTCGCGCGACAATGTCGAGTAGCAACACACATTTCACATGCGTGTGCTGTATGTTCAGCCGCAACTCCTATAAATAACGGGCAATATTACGTTGACCACTTTACAACTAGTTTCTTTATGTTTGTAAAAAATATCTTTTCTTTTTCTTTTAATTATTAAACAATTATGTCTATGTTATTTATAATTACCGTTATTTAAATAACGGAATATACAATCTATATACAATCTTTATTTTTTATACAATCTTAATTTTTTTTTATTTACAATAAATAAAAAAAGTGAAATTGGCACAATGACTATGATATTGTTGATATTGTGATAGTCAATTTGATCAAGTAAATTTCACATAACTCAATGGAAAACATAATGTATACATTAAATATTTGTTTCCTAATTATTATATAAATACCAGACAAAGAATGCCTAATTAAAGGCCTAAATCCAAATATGGCTGATTCACACAAAAATAGAATCTTTGCAATTGTAAATATGAACTCTCATCTTAGTTCATATAAAACAAGAAATATAAATCTATATTTTTCTGTAACATGCTACAATCCTTTTCCATCTTGTAAGATAATTTTCCATAATATATGCGAGAAGACAGAAACTTGCATACACATAATATAATTCAATATGTAGTTTTTTAAACACAATATACATATACATGTGTGTTTGATTTTAATTGCTCCATTAGAATATCTCGAGAAGGAGATGTGGGATTAAAAAAGTTTTAGAAAAAAGTTATGTGCCTTTGAGGGGGACACAAAATGGTATCATGGGTTTGATTTGACCTTGGGTGTCATTGTCAAGATCAGAGCAAGATCACTTTGAATTTTTTTAATGGAACTCTTCATTTTTCATTGTATATTCTCCTAGCTTACCTCGAGAGATTTTCAAAACACTATAATAAAATATTTTTTCATTAAGTACTTTTCAAGTTATAGGGCTTGAAAGCTACAGTACCGCCTGCATTAGCATTACCCTAAGGTCTGACCGACTGCTAAAACCTTTTAAATGTTGTTTAGGATCATGACTTAGATAGACATTTATTAATATCAAGACCACTGGAGGTTGCTCTTATTTTCATTTATGCACTAAAAATTTATTTTTATATAAAATAAAAAGCTAGCAGTACTGTAACTTTCAAGCCTTATTACTAGAAAAGTACTTCTTAAAAAATATTTTATTATAATGTTTCGAAAAGCTCTCGAGGTAAGCTATGAGAACATGCTATGAAAAATGGAGGGTTCCATTAAAAAAATTCAAAGTGACCTTGCTCTGACCTTGATGATAACACCTCTAAGGTCAAACCCATAATACCATCTTGTGTCTCCTTCAAAGTCACATATCTTTCAGTACTAAGAGATATTTTAGTGGAGCGATTAAAATGAAACACACAGTATATATATATATATATATGTATTATGTATGTGTGTATGTATATATATATATACATATGTTCAAGTTTTAAGCAGTTTTTTACATATCAAAATAATTACTGTACCCGTTAAAAAAAAGGAAATTTTTTAAAACTTACCTTCTTCTACGAGAACTTCTATGACGATGACAATCTCTTGCATAATGACCCTTTTCACCACATTCATAACATTTATCTTCTGGATGAAAAGGTCTCCCAATGCCTCTTCTAGAAAAGCCCCTGTCTCTTAATTTCTTTCCATTTGACAATTCCACGCGAACACGTCTTCCACATAGAATACGACCATCCAGTCCTCTTACAGCATCCTCCGCATCTCTAGGATCTTCAAATTCGACAAAAGCAAATCCAGGAGGATTTCTGGCAACCCAGACATTACGCAAGGGTCCATAGTAGGAAAATGCATCCTCCAATTGTTGTTTACTAGCACTACTCCCTAAATCTCCCACATAAACCTTGCCATCCGAAGGATAACGCGAAATCTAATAAACATATATAAAAAATATATAAAGTAAGCAAATTCTTTCTCTCACAAAAGTATCAATATATAAATAAGATAAATAAATTTATCAAATATTTTTCTCACATCTCTATAATTCTAAAAAAAGTTTAATTTAAAAAAAAATTTATAAATTTCATATTTCTATAAATTAACTCTTTCCAAAATAATATTTAACCAATTAACAATCCCACTCATAATAAAATAATGTTGTATTAAACAAATATTACATAAAAAAAAAGATGTTTTATTACTTCCGAAAAATATTGTACAATGACTGAAAAACGGATTCATTTTTGTACCTTGCTCATGTTGTTAGCCTTGTAGAGTTTTCGTGAATGAAGACGTCTACAAAGACCTATGGCACATTTTCTGGAAAATATACGATTGACAGCAGTAGCTTCCTACGCGTTATCGATTCTCCAGAGAAACAAATTGTAAATTGATTAGAAACCCCTTCGTATAAGACCAATTTTTCAATAGCGCTTCCACCTCAACGATATTTACGATAATGTCCACCAGTGTCCACCAATGCCAAGTGTATACTACAAGCCGTTAATTTATTTGACCAATCGCTAACAAGAGATTTTATACAGTTTGTATCACAGTGCACATTCCGCATACTGTTGTGCATATACTGTACATACATTGGAAGCAGGGTTGCCAAGCTTATTTTGAGGGCTACTTTCACCATTGTCGGTTTACTTAACCAGCCTAGTAACTGTAATGAAATAGAAAGAGATAGAAATAATTCTATCTCTTTCTATTTCATTACAGTTACTAGGCTGGTTTAGAGTCCTAGATTTATCAGAGAGGCGCAACCGGTGTTATGCATTCTGATTCGCTGTTGCAATCTGACCAATTGCGTGACTTGGCAGCCATTTATTAGTACTAGTGACATATTTCTATTTCATTTTATCCTATACATTCTATCTCACATTATCCTACACGTCTTATCTTTGTTTGACATAGTTTAAAGGCAGTTTCATAGCATGTCGGCCATGTTTAGTACTCTTCTGACCAATTGCGTGACTTGGCAGCCATTTATTAGTACTAGTGACATATTTCTATTTCATTTTATCCTATACATTCTATCTCACATTATCCTACACGTCTTATCTTTGTTTGACATAGTTTAAAGGCAATTTCATAGCATGTCGGCCATGTTTAGTACTCTCCTTAGCACCTTTGTCATACTAACTTAAGACGGTTGCGCCTCTCTGATAAATCTAGGACTCTAAGCTGGTCTAGATAACAGAGATGCGACATTGAAGGGTATGGTCTGATTGGCTGTCTAAAGCCTTGTGTCCACGATGCTAGAAATCGATCCGAGATCTCGGACAAAGAAAAAATTAACAAATCACATTTGAACAATTTGATCACATGACTATTGCGATTGGTCAATTCTTTCTTCATCCGAGGATGATTTCTCGGACCGATTTCTAGCATCGTGGACACAAGGCTTAAGTCCGGATTCTCATACGGGCAACAGTGCTTTGACACTGAACGCTGATTGGTGAAAAACGGGTGATGGGGATAAATTTTACCCCCACAACCGGTTTTTCACCAATTAGCGCTCTGTGTCAAAGTGCTGTAGCTCATATGAGGATCCGGGCTAAGGGGCTTCGCACAATAAAAGGAACAGGGAACAGAGAATAAGAATTTCAATCTATCAGAAATCATGTTTGTGGAATACGCAGTGTGTATTCTACAATACATGACTTCTGATAGGTTGAAATTCTTATAGCATATTCAATTTAGGGCCGGTTGTTCCACCTATTGGTAAATTTTACCTGTTAGGTAAATATGCCAATCCACGCATGTGATTAGGTAATCTTGCTACTTACCCGACAGGTAAAATTTACCAAAAGGTGGAACAACTGGCCTTAGCCCGGATCCTCATACGGACAATATCGACCCGACTCCGAGTCAATAGTCTGTTCTGTTTAGCTGCAAAAGAAGAGCTAAACTGTGTAAGAAATGCAGCTAAAAAGAACAGACTATTGACTCAGAGTCGGGTCGAGTCAGTAAGAATACGCTATTATTCTCTGTTCTCTGTTCTCTGTTCCTTTTATTGTGCGAAGCCCCTTATAAGCTGATGACAGCTGTTGCATTACACGAGGAAATTTATAGCGTTTTCGGCCCGATCGGGTTTGCACCAACCTGGGTTGGATTAATCTTTCCTATTGGTTGACATCACCTGCTCTACCAATAGGAGAGTACAAAACGCCATTAATCCAACCCAGGTTGGTGCAAACCTAGCCGGGCCGAAAACGCTATTAAATTGTTAGATAAAGAAGAAAGTATAGTACGTACTTATAGTATGTACTTAAAGCTGGAAACACAATAGACACAGGCAATAGGCACAGGCAACACGGAATAACGAGCCGTCCAATCAGAACTTTGGGGTATAAGTTCGATATTATATCCCAGAGCTCTGATTGGACGGCTCGTTATTTCCTGTTGCCTGTGCCTATTGCCTGTGTCTATTGTGTTTCCAGCTTTATAGTACATACATTATATGTACATACATTATTAAGGCCGCAGCACAGACTTTTGCATAACGCATAAAGCATAGTGCATAAGCGAATCAACCAATCAGAGTCCCTTATTTCCATCCCCATTTCTCGTTCTGTAGATCTTGCATAGCGCATAACTCCGGATCTACAATAGAGTTTTAAGCTTTGAGCCATAAGAAATGGGCGAATCACAGTCGCTTATTCTTCTCGGATTCGACTGTAATTGGTCAATTTCTTACAGCATAAGGCTTAAAACACCTATTGTAGATCCAGACTTACGCAAAAGTCTATACTGCGGCCTTTAGCGTTAATCGGTGTTGGTGAAAGAGGTCCCAAGGTTGCGATCGATTTGGACGCTCACGCGCTTTTAGCGCTTGTAATCATCATTCTGTCTTTATCGTTCATTAAGCCGGTTCTACATTAGTTGCATGCTGATCGCAAGTTTGTTGCGACAGCCAATCTGAAGCTTGCATTTTGAAATCAATGCTTCATATTGGCTGTCGCAACAAACTTGCGATCGGCTTGCAACTAATGTAGAACCGGTTTAAGAAGAGTTAACCATGAGTTGTAAAACTGGGCCTTAATTCTGCTGAAGGAGACGTCAGATTAAATATAAACATTTATACTTACATTATAAATGTTTTCTTGTGTTGCTATGTAATGAATAATATTATACAAAATATAATTTTAATAATTTTTATGTAGACATTGACGAGATGGTAACCTGTGCAGCAGTTGGTTGTAAGAATTCATCTAACAAAGGTGTTAAAATGAATTGTTTTCCAAAAAATACTTATCGCCGAAACGTATGGATAAAAAATGCCAAATTGGAAAATAAAATATTAAACCGCTCTGCAGCATTATGTGAGGTATTCTCTGTTTATATATTTCTCTATTTAATTTTATATTTTACTTTTAAATATTTGCTAAACTTATATATTTTATATTTACATTTTACTTTTGAATATGTGCACAACTTTACACTTATTATATTTTAAATTTATTTTTATATGTTACATTATTATTATATTTTTCCTTGAAATAGTAAAATTATTTTCTTATTTTTAAGTTTCATTTTACCTCAAATATGTGGGAAAAGATTCGAATCGATGGAACAAAAAAACTTAAATGTACAGCAGTTCCAACAATATTTGGAGAATTAGTAACTCAACAAAAAAACAAAAAAGCTAAAATTAATCGTAAGTTTAATTTTAACTTTGTACCATTTATTATTTTCTTAGCTTATATTAGAAATAATAAGAATGATATTCAAGTGTGTAATTATTAATAACAAATATTATATACAATACAAAAAACAGGATGTTGTAATAATTAATTCAAAGTAATAATTAATTTTGTCATCATTGTAATTGTTACTAATTAGATAATATTATTTATTTTCATTCAGAAAATACTGCTGATTTAAATGGAATTAAACAATCTCAGATAATAATATCTAAGACAGATTATGATGGTACTGTTACAATATCTATAAATAATCCAAAAGAAGAACAATGTAAATCAGAAAATCTTCTATCTGATATTGAAGAAGAAGAAGCAGTAACTCATCAAATAAGTAAAAAAATTCTCCAAGAAACAGCAGAATTATGTAGTGATGGAATTATACAAGACGACACATTGGTTTCAAAACAGGAGCACAGTTTGGATAAACAAAATTTATTGTATATGGAAAAAATCAAAAAATTAGAAAAACTACTTCGGAAGTCAGAATCGCTACGAATAAGTATGGGAAAGAGACATAAACGTTTGCAAAACCAATATAAAAACAGAATTAAGGAATTAGAAAAAAAAGTATGCATTATTGAATAGTTTCCTACAATTATTCGACAACTTTTGCATAAAGATCAGATATAGCTCTTAAACAAAAAATATTAAAAAATTCCAAAATGGTATAATGTAATGTTAGTCAAAGCATATCACTTAAAATTTGCGTGCAGCCTATCATAATATAAAGATCTTTTACTTCAAAGCTTCCATCTATTAGAACATTAAATAGAAAACTTGAAAAATTAAAATTCCAAAGTGGAATATTGTATGAAATTTATCAATTTTTAAATATAAAAGTTTCACAATTTAGTAATGGTACAGGCCAGGTTGCTGCTGAGTCAATATTCTTACTTTACTCATTATTTAGAAGAAGGCTCACTTTTGTTCACTTTTTTAATAAAAAAAACTCACTATTCTCATTTTTTTTCCGATAAAATTGTATTATTTCTGTATTTGCTATAATTTCTGTCTAATAAGTTATACATTTTTAAAAATTTTTGCTGCGTGTTTTCATTCCTTTTCTGTGAGTAGATTTGAATAATTTGAATCTCATGCCATATATGATGACGAGATTCTTTTACTTCATTATTGATTATTTAAGGAAGGTTTTAAGCATTTCATTATAATTTACAGTTATTCCAATCCGCATAAATTAAATCAATTTATTGAGCGCTATAGTCATGAAAAGTGTTGTCTTGTTGCCATATGTACTTGTGCCATATAAGGTAATAGCTTTATCAGAATGAAAAACTTATTAGAAAATGTGATATTACTTGTACAAATGCGTAAAACTTATTGCGATATTATACCAAATAATATTGGGTTGGAGAAAAAGTTCTGTGGAATTTTTTGTTAGCTCACAATTATATACAGAATATATTTGTTGCAAAATTTTCGACTATCTGATGTGAAAGCTTAAAGTTTTTTTAAAAGTTTGTTTTTAAAAAATGTTTCTACAACTTTTTATTACCAAGTTACACATGGATTTAATAAAAAAGCATTCTGATTTTGATTGCTCGTAACTCCGTCAAAAATCATCGTAATTAATGAAACAGATTCTTAAAGCTGAAACTTTGTTCTATTAAATATCATGCTAATTTTTGAAGTGTAAAATATATAGAAATTTAAGTTATAAAATTGTGATATTACTATTGATATTACGTATGACTATTGCGCAATGGTTATAAGGACAATACCATATTTTTAGCTCAAATTTATCTATCCCATTTTTTAAATTGGTAATTATATCACTTAATAGAGCAACGTTTTAGCTTTAAAAATCTGTTTTTTTAAATTGCAGATAATTTTTAATGAAGTATACAATCAAAGTCAGAATACTTCTTTTTACTTAACTTGCGAATAATTCAAGAATAAAAAATCGTAGAAACATTTCTAAAAAACGATTTTGTGAGGAAAATTCCAAACTTTTACAATATAGATAGTTGAAAATTTTCCTTTTTTTCAGCTCGTAGTTTTCTATATATAAAAATTACAAAACTCGCATAAATTCAAAAAATATAGTCACTATTCAAAAGTAAATTTCAAGCTATAAAATCTTTATAAATTTAAATTTTGTTTATTTTTAACGAAGATATTGTATATATAATTTTGAGCTAACAAAATACCACGGAACTTTTCCTCCATTCCAATATTAAGGGAAAATTATACTAGAAAGTTTTAAATATGTTCTAATTTTATTGGTTATGAAAGACTTAAATAAACTTATAGAATCTTAATAAACTAGATACCTATATTAAATAATGATGTATTTAATTTGAAAATAATAACTTTGTTTCCAGACACTTGATAGATCAAAATATTTTCAAAAAACGCGTGTAAAAAGTGCTTATCATGTTTTAAATCACGAAATAAGTACAGCATTAGAATATTTAGCTTTTGAAGATTCAAAACCAGAGTATATCTCGTGGCTAACAAAATAAATGGCTCTGGTTAAAATTATTATTAACTAAATTATTACTAACTAAAAATAGTTAGTAATAAAAATAATGAAGGGAATAAGTAAAAATAAATCTGAAAAATTTAATGAAGTTATGAATTTTCTAAATAAATTTATCGAACTAATTTCATTGTTAACTTTTGGTAACAAAAATAATTGAAAACCATTTCAGAAAAGCATAATATTAAATACAAAATCGATAACTGAACTATCAACATATTTGTTAAACAATAAAAATTATAAATATGTTTTGATTGGTAGATTTATCCAAAATTGCATTGAAAATTTATTTTTAGTATTATGTATAAAAAATTGTATATTAAATGCACTCCAATTAAAAAAACAATTGAAAGTTATTCAGTATTTCACATTATATGACAAAATCAACTAGTAACATTCTAAAAAAAACATTCTAGAAAAAATCGCTGCATCTAAAAATTATATGAAAAGTAAGACGATGGCAATCATGCATATAATTATATATACATTAAATAACTATATTATTATATTACTGATATAATTTGTATGCAGTTGCAGTATAGTTTAGATGCAAATATTATTTTCTTATGATAAATATTAATATTTATGTTAAAATAATACAAATATTTAATAATTACCCAATAAGCAAGAAACATTTTGGAACATTTCAGTAACATTGTAGCAATGTTATAACGTTACTACAATGTTGCTGAAATGTTCCAAAATGTGGGTAGTTTGTGAAATATACTTGTGACATTAATTATATTCTAAAATTTATTTTTTTTCTATTTGTGACATACACTGGCTGCGTTCTACTTAACGCTTGCAACGCTCGCGAGCATTGTTTGTCCTTGTTTAATATTTGATAAACGATAAGGATGAAACGATTCCACGAGCGTTGTGAGCGTTAAATGGAAGCCACTGATATGCATTGATTATGTAATAAAGTTTATTTTAATAAAGTAAATTTTTATTAATATTTTGTGTGTATTTTTACAGGTATCACGGATTTGAAAATACATCACCTGGGAATTAAAATCCTTTTACAAAATGTTTACAGACATAACTCTTTGAGTGATAGTAACAAATACAATTGTTACTTTTATTCAAGATTGGGTACAAACTAGTTAATAAGTTAAAAAGTAAATAAAAAGTTAATAACTTTTAACTTAATTTAGCTTATATCAAATGAATTCAATTTTAACTTAACGTAATTACTTTAACCCCGGATCTACAATAGATTTTTAAGCTTTAAGCCATAAGGAATGGACGAATCACAATCAATTATTCTTCTCGCATTTGACTGTAGTTGGTCAATTTTTTAAGGCTTATAAGGCTAAAACACCTATTGTAGATCCGAACTTAAACTTTGATTTATTAACACTTTTTTTTTAAAGTCAAAATTTGTTTTATTTCTTTAAACGTTAATATTTTTTTCTAGAAAATCTTAAATTATTAAAGAATTAATTCAAAAAAAGCTAAGCATTTAGGAAACGGTATCAGCGCTTATGTGCTTATAAGATATGTCATTCTAATCTTGTTTTACATCCGGTCATTGATACTATTTGCAAATATCTATGTAAAATTCAATTTTTTATTGCAAAAGAAAAAATACATTGCTATATACAAAACTATTTGTTTTTTCATATAATTTACAAATAAAATATTAAATTTATTTGATAATCTATATCTAACGTTTATATCTATATTGTAATTTTTTTTTATTTAAAGTAATCTAATTTTAAGAAAAATTAGGTCATTTTAATTTGATAAAAATATTTGCCAAAATTAACTTTTCATTTAACTGGAGTTAATTCAATCTTAACGTAACTTTAACTGGGTTAGTTTTTTGTTCATGCAACTTTTAAGCCTATTCTACAGTAGTCGTAAGCGTAGTTGGAAGTGGTTGTAGTTGTAAGAATTGACCAATCACAGTCAAATATTCTCCTCACATTCGACTTGATTGGTCAATTCTTACAATTACAACCACTTACAACTATGCTTACGACTATAAAGGCCCGTCTACAATACACGGAGTAAGAAGTAAGAGTAAGAAATTGACCAATCACAGTCGATTATTCTTCTCACATTCGACTGTGATTGGTCAATTTCTTACTCTTACTTCTTACTCTGTGTATTGTAGACGGGCCTTAATGGATGAAGCTGTAAGAGTAAGAAATTGACCAATTGCATTCGATTATTCTTTTTACATTCAACTGTCATTGATCAATTTGTTACTCTTATAGTTTCATCTTGTTTCCTGATTGGTTGCAGATCGTTGTACGACGGAAATCGGATGCAGTGTGAATCCAGCATTACGACGCTTCCGACGCTACGATATGACCAATGTAGAATTGCTGGATGCAGTGTGAATCCAGCAGATGGCCTTGAATTCAGCATATGTTTGGGCAAACGGGATCTTACAGATATGAGATAGTACTGAACAAGGATATAACGATTATACATCACGTGCATCATGCGCTTTACGTCACATAGCCACGTATGACGAGTTTTCATTAAAATCAGAGACAACGAGACGTTATTTTGTGATATTGATATGTGTGCATATTTGTATCGTCCAAATACCAATTGTAAATAATTGGTAACGATTACATAGAATAATCATAATTTCATAATTATTAACTTTACGTGGTATAGTACAGCATGATTTAAAAATTTATGTATTTACACCTCAGAGAACTTTCGAAAACAATTTGACAAATCTAGTAAAATTTTTATGTGTAAATAAACTACAATCTTCGATGGAGAGTGCCATCTTTAAATTGAGATATTATTCATTTGAATTTCGTCATTCTCTCCAATTGAGTGTAATGCTACCCTCGCTTATCAGTAATTTAGTATATTATCGCTTATTTAAGTATACATATATATATATATAGACATACTTGTACTAGATCTCTTTTAGTTGTCGTGAAACATTCGTAAGGACTGAATGTTGTGTTTTTACATTTTTGTTTTTGATACGTATATACACACAAATTTTTTAATTAAATATTTTATTCATTCATAGTGAAATAGCCAATAGATCCACATTGTATTATATCTAATTCATGCATTACAAATAGAATATATATTCCTTGAGTTTTTAAATTATGTCCATGTTATCTGCACTCTATTATTAAAATAATAATTAAGTAAAAAACTTTTTTATTCTATAAAATAGCATTAAGCTATGAGTGTATGTGAGGAACATCTCAACATTACAATAGATGAGAATGAAATTATTGTTGGTGCTAAAGATATTATAAAGAGGATTAGACCATCCTGGCCCTTGCAACAATTGAATTTTAAGGTAATTTTTGATATCCTTTTATAAGAGAGAGAGAGAAGTAATAGAAAAACAGCTGAACAATGATAACAATAATTGAATTCAAAATTAAATTGTATATCTCTTATGTCCCTTGCTTTTAAAAAATAAATCGTTATATTTACAGTGCTCTTTTTATATCAATATTATATTTTATTTGTCTACTGGTAACTTTTTTACCTGACATGCAATACAATTTCAATTCTTGTTATAGAACTAAAACTATAGTGCGTGTTGGAATTCGTATTTTCCTTATGTTCGATTTATTCATTCCTTCATAAATGCAGAGTTTTATCAATTTTGTTTTCATAATTAAGTAATAAGAAATATCGATGTTAATAGCTTTTTAACCTTTTTTTGCACCCACATGATTTTAAACATTGATATAAGTAATAAAAGAGTTTTCAGATAACAATACTATCTTTACCATTACTGATGATATGTAAATCAATTCAAAATAACTAGGAAAAAAAATATCTTTTTTTTTCTTTTATTTCAGGTATTTACTGATGGAAGAACAAATAAGTTGATAGGAGTATGGTACACGGGACATTATACAGATATGATCCTGGTTAGAATTTATGGTAATAATTCGGATTTACTGATCGACCGAAAAAGTGAAATAAAAAATATCCGGGTAAAGATTTTATCAAAGTTATTATACACAGCGCTATCTTGTTTATATTTCAGTTTATAATTAAACTTTTGTAATTTATATGCATTAATTTTTTTATTAACCTGCATATATACCTACGCATAAGTATTATACAAAGAAAAATATAACAAATTTAAATTTTAATGTGTAAACAATATAACTAATGCATAGAATAAATATTTGTGCATAGATATTGAATAAGGCTGGCTATACTCATTGCATTTATGCTACATTTAACAATGGATTTGCTTATCAATTCCTGGAAGGTGAAACTCTGACTACTGAAACAGTCAGAAATCCAAAAGTATACCCATTAATTGCGAAACGTATGGCTGAAATGCATAATCTTGAGTCTGAAAATGAATCTATATCAAAAGATGCTTTTATCTGGGAAAAAGTAAAGAAATTTATGCAAATTATACCTAAAAGATTTTCGGATTCTCTTAAGCAAGCAAAGTAAGCGCTTATAAATAGATACTTCCTTTGAACATCATATAAGACATATTCAATAGTTTAGTTGTAATAGTTTCTACTTTAAGGTTTGAAATGTTGATACCATCCTATGCAATATTGGAGGAAGAATATCAGCTATTGAAAAGTACACTTTCCAAAGTGAATAGTCCTGTAGTATTCGCTCATAATGATCTTCTACTAGGAAATATATTGTACAATCAAAAACAGGAGAGTGTTGTTTTTATCGATTATGAATACACTGCGTTCAACTATCAGGCGTTTGATATAGTTAATCATTTTACAGAATTTGCCGGTAATTACGCATTCTTCAATATCTTACAAGTGTATTAGAAAACATACCTACCTTCGTACATAAAGTATTACAGAACAACAAAGTATATTATAAAGTATATTAAATAAAATTTTAAACACCTGGTACATTTAAGGTTTTGACGAGCCGGATTATTCTTTATATCCGGATGAAATTTTTCAAAAAATGTGGTTGAAAAAATATTTGCAAATATACAACGCGACAACTAATGTGTCCGAAAAAGACGTTGACAAATTATACTGGCAAGTTACTAAATTTACTCCTTTGCCGCATTTTTTTTGGGGCTGTTGGGCTCTCATCCAGAGCGAGCATTCGCATATTGATTTTGATTTTTTAGAGTAAGTGCTTTTATTTATCAATAAAACATATTTATAAATGATGTATCAAATATATCTGTATGATAGTAGGTAGTAGAAATACATACTATATATATATGAAACTGTCTACTATCATATCTACTATTATCGCATATATATGCTAATATCATAGATATACGCACATTAATAAAAATAACGGCAATAATAATTCGACAATCGATTATTTTCTTGTATAATAGAATTATCAAAATTTTAGGATAAAAATAAAATATACTTTGGTCAAATAATTATTACAGTAAATTTTTAAATATTTTTTCAGATATGCTGCAATACGTTTCAACGAATATTTTAAATGGAAGGAAGAAATTTTTAAGATGAAAACGGAATTTGATGAATGAAACAGTGGCTGGATATAAAATTTGTAATATGGCATTTTTTGATGTATTTGTTCCAATTGAAGTATTTTGTCTCGAATGTATATCCCAGCAATTGTACATGTATGTGTATATATAACTTTTTATTGATTATTGATATGTGTAATATATTGTAATTTTATATATATAAGTGACATTAATAGTTGTGGCCAAATATGACCACTATTTTATTGGTGCTGGTAGTGTATAATATTGTATATAGATACATCTTTATGACTGTATATTTACAAGTATAATAGAACAAGTACAAGACGTTATAGTTTAGTTAACTTTAAGTTTTCTTTCTTTGTTAAATATATATGGAGAATCGATAAAATAAAAATGCTCGAAGAATTAAGTTTGTCAGTATAATTAGTTTAAATTTTCGGTAATATTACGTGCTCTCAATGGCAATTTCCAGTATAGTACAAATAACAATAGATTAATAAAAATAATCGATTTCAGGGAGGAAGACTATCATATCTCATATTTTTCATTATCATTGAGTACAAGGTACAATTACCAGCTATGAAGATAGCCAGTCTTGGATAAGTTACGTTGAGTGTTAAATTTTAACTTATTGATCTTGTCGTCAATCGTATTATCCCCCTCCCTCTCCCCAGCGATCAGTATAATTGATCAATTTTTTTTTACATGGTGTCTAGGAAGATCTGTATATCGTGTTGTGAATTATGATACCATATATTCAATGAATCATATACAATCGTTAATCAATTCTAGGCTGCGTTCTGTTATTACGAGTACCGAAACTCTCTAGTTCGTGACTACAGATTTTCAGTATTCGCATTCGCAATGGATAGCAGCACGCAGCTTATATGTATAATATACTGAAATTTGTGAATCAATCGCTTTGGGATCAATTGTATTTCTTGTAACGAGGTAAGAGAAAAAACAAAAGTGAGCGAATTTATTGGAATATTTATAATTTTATTGGTTAACATCTCTAGAAAATTTGCTCATTTTTGTAATTTTTACCTGCTTTCAAGATACACATTCGACTTCATTATCGTTTATTCATAACATCAAGCACACATATTTCGACGCATATCGATAATTATGGAATCTGCCAAGGGCCAAGATGCACCAGATGGGCATGATACACTCACACAGATACGTTAGCTCACTCACTAGCGTGCTCACGCTCTCTTGGAAGTTGGATGTAAACAATGAGTAAAAATATGGTAAACTGTAATCGAAAGAAGCATTAGTTGAGCCTGGTTGAGCCAGTTTTCCGAATTTCATCGATATACTTGAGCTCTTTGTTTAACAACAGACGTCGTAATTGCAAACTGTTCGGCAGTTCGTTCGTCCATTGTTTCTGATTGTTTCAACACATGAATGGTGCTTCCCAGCGGGCAGTCACAGTGTACTTTTAACACTGTGATCATTAATCATTTTAACTCGGTGTAACATGGGCAAACAAAAATATATGTGTTACGCTCGTTACACTGTCTCTTGGAAAGCATCCAAGATTATAGGAAATTCAGGCTCTTCTCTTTCATTTATATATTGATGTATATATTGATCAAAACGACCGTTCTTCAAAACGAATGCTCGCGGGACGACAGTATATAGCAATTCGCGCGTTGCGCCACTTTATTTTCTCGTTCTTAGTTGGTGTATGTCTTTTTCGGAAGCGACGACAGTCGGTTTACCAAGTCGAGAGAGATAGTTGCTTCACTTAAGCTGTATCTGATCGCAAACGATATCAAAGAGAAACCTTAATTTCTCTCTGATGACATATATCGGTACGATATTCTTGATGCTTCTTCGTTGATAGACGATGTCTCGCGGTGACCATACCCGTTTGATTGAGAGCAATTGAGAGTTCTGTACTGGACAATCGAGAGAGAAAGAGAGAGAGAGAGCAGCTGAATCAAAACTACACCTGCAGGCTGCAATCAAATACGCAGTGGTGCGTAGTCGTGCTGAATCGCGCATCTCAGTTCGGCGCATCTTCGACCTCTTTGAAAAAGAAAAAAAAGGAACGCTGTGTTCTCTGGTCACCCAAAAGCCTAGACTTCGCGTTTGCCGATCGTTTGTCGATAATTGAAAGATGCACGTCACCTGCAAGTGCCTGAATGTGTCCATCAAGTCTAGGAGCGCCGAATTACAACAGGTTAACATCGAATTGACCGATCTGGAACGTGCTGATGCCTTTTTTCGAGAGGTAAATAAAAGCTTTTTCACTCGTTGCCTCTCTCTTTTTCGAAAAATCCATGATCTAAAAATAATTAATTTAAAAAAAAAGTGTTCCGTTTTATCCCTTCTCCTCCCTCTCTCGCTTCTCACCTGTTTCATTGCAAAGTTAAAATCGATTTGAATTTAGTTAAAGTTTTATCTTCACCCCTTTATCGATATGAATTTAGAGTTTAATCTTACATAAAGACGTGTAGTAGATATGAAAAAATATGTCTTCTCACGCTTCAATTTTCATAAATAGATCTCAGTTTGACATATCATGTAACTCATTGCGATCGTATCAATTTCATGTTTTTTTTTGCAGCACAGCAATAATCTTATACTTTGCGATCCCGTCGCATTATGTTAACGTTCAAGCTGGTTCATCTTCAATCTTTTGTACATCTTCGATTTTATATAAAATATTTTTTCTAGTATTTATGTGAAATTAGTGAGCATTGATCGACATGATGTTTCTGTTTAGATATTAAATTCTTTTAGCATTAAAAAAAATATCTGCACAAAAGTCATACTGTCATGATCAATTATTTATGTATATATAATTGTAATTAAAATATAGAACGATTTAATTATTAATGACGTAACAGATATTGATTTTATTTTTGACAGGATTTGGCGAGTGTACCAGAATTGGAAAAAATTACTAAAGAACAACCTGGTTTAATGGAAAAAAGAAATGTTGGATCCTGGATTGTACACCGTTGTTGCAATTGCTCAATGTATACTCACGCAGTTCATAGAGAATACGGTGCTGCTTTAGTCCTCATTAATAACAATATTCTTGTAAGTTTTAGACAAAACATTGCAAGAGAGATATTAAGTTAATATTCCAAGAGACGCGATGGTCTCTTGGATAAATAACAATATTCTTGTAAGTTTTAGACAAAACGTATTGCAAGAGAGATATTAAGTTAATATTCCAAGAGACGATGGTCTTGACCAAAATAATCTGTTTATGTTTGCCGTATAAATAATCTGTTTTACTTGCACGGTTGCCACCTTTCCTGTTCAAGATTAAGGGGCCGATTCTGTAAAGGGTCCTCTACATAGAAGTCGTAGACGGTCGTGGAGTCTTAAGTCATAGGAAACCAACCAATCACAATCAAATATAAGGAGAATATTCGATTGGAATTGGTCAATTTCCTACGACTTAAGACTCCACAATCGTCTACGACTTCTATATAGAGGACCTTTAAGAGTTACAGAATCGACCCCTTAGTGTCATTCAAATTATTGTTACCGTCTTATAGTGAATTTTATAAAAAAATATAAAATAGTATGAAATCTTTTTTGTCAGCATTTTTGTTTAAAAAGTCAAACTTGTTTAAAAAGCCAAGAATCTCTGGCCGGAGAAGTGGCAACCGTGTTTACTTGACTGACTTCCCATATTTTTGTTGTTGTTTTTCTAAAACGTTTGTCATCTATTTAATTTTAGTGTAATGAAAAATAATTTATTATGAATCATTCTTTATCTAAGGGCGTATTTGTATTCCCATCCAGATTCTCCCTAGGGCCCAGTTTCACAATTCATGGTTAACTCTTAACCGAGGTTCAACTTATTCATTATCTCTTTCCAATTCCCTGGAATTGGAAAAAGATGAGAAACAAGTTGTGAGTTTGAAACTGGGCCTAGGTGTCATGCCATCCTTGTTTAACATTGGATAAACAAAAATGATGTGATACCTGGGTGGTACTTGGATAAGAATCTGAGCATAGTCTAAGATAAGCAACTGATTTTATCAAGAACGATTGCATATGATATTAATTGCAGATACACATTTATTGTTTATATATAAATTGTAAAAATAATACCTATCAGAGATATATTATTCATTTTTATGGAGTCGTTAACTTCTAAATAAATTTGTTTGAAAGATAATTATATTGTTATAGTTATCTCCCGTGGAAATAAATAAATTAAAATCCAATCCAGATTACAGCCCAATATTTAGGGTAGTAATTAATCATAGTTTGGAAGATCTCGACGATTATCTGCAACAGCCTAAATTTTCTGGTAAGTTAATGTGTATATATGTGTTCAACATGTATTTAATTTTGTTGGATTTTAAAATAATTTATTTATATCTGCATATTATGTATCCATGTATTATCTTAGCGTTATATGTTACACTTTATTTATCTAGTTTCACAATTACCTAACGCGGTTCAAGTGGCCCTAGATGGATTACAACAACAGTTACAAGAGGCTGTACAACGTCAAACAATAGCTATAGAAGATAAAATACGTGCATTTACTGCTGAGCAGCATCAATTGTTGGAACAATTTCGCGAAAGAGCACACAATGAACATAGGCTGTTATCAAAGTAATTTTACAAGTATGTGTATATTATTATATTATATAATAATAATAATCATAATCTTGTTTTTTTTTTTAATAATTAGACTAGTATGTAGAGGTGACGAGACAAGTAGAGTAACCAATAATATAGAAACTCCGCCAACAACTCCTGACGGTTTTAAAAGTATTATGACTACCTCTGCAGCTAATACAGTGAATCCAAAGTCTAATATAATATTCAGTGACACAAAAGTATCTAGTAGCCCAAACGTTAAACATGAGACAACTACCAGACACTCCTCTAAAAGTAGCATTAATGTAAGTCATTTATCAAAGTTTTTTCAATTATTACTTGGTGTACAGATCAAAAGTCTTATAATTATAATTTTAATAATTATTATTGAATCTGGATAATAAACTTTACAGAATGAAAATTCAAGAAAAAAGGATACAGTGTATATTAGTACCAAGGAATCAGGTAGTTTCGATACGGAAGTATTGTTTCCTTTTGAAGGAATGGAGGATACAGACACAGCCAGCCAACAGCTTCTATGCTCTTCGGAAGACACTGATGGATCTGATACCGATGGTATGATGTATTAATTTATTATTAATATCCTTGTGTTTTGTTTAGATCCAAGTTTGTAATAATTAACACATTTAGATTCAAGCCAAAACGAGGAGATTCATATGCCAAGAGGTCAACGGGATGGTCATTCTACGTTAGCTAAATCATTACCTGTCATCGTGCCTGTTTTCCCTTCTATCGTTCGTCATACAATACAGGATCAAGACGATGATCAGGTAAAATTTTACATGATTTTTAATTTTTGCAATATATTGTATTATACTTTTGAGCCTTTTCATGCTTATATTTTAAGTTTACTCTCTCTCTCTCTAAAAAAAAATCTATATATAATTATAATTACAGTTGCCAACTGATCCACACAACATTCGAGCTTCAATGAAAGCCTTAGCTAAAAGCGTCAATACTGATACGGTATTTGGAGATTTACCACGTCCCAGATTTTCTACTCAGATCTGATTTATCAAGTATGATAAGAGAAATTTAGTCATGATTTCTTAATTTTTTGATACAAACAATATATCATAGTCTCAATCATCCGTCATTTGTCTTTTATATAAAAGTTACAAGAGGTTTATGTATACTTGGAATAAATATGGCCGGTTTTACACAGAAGTACAGAACGTCCTGCATATTTTATAGAAAAGATGCCTCTTAACTCAAGTTTTAGATATTCTAGATTTACTAGCTAATGTAAAATATATTTGAAAAAGATAAAACTTTATATGCTAAACTGAATGCGGTGCTTGGAGATGTTGTGAAAATGATTGTTTCACCTTAACAGGATGGGAAATCACTATAGTGATATTGAAAGTGTCATATTTTGAGGCAAGGAGTACAATGAATTATAATAAATCTTACTTAAGGAAAAGCTGTGAGATTTTAAAAGTAGTTTGCTTCGCCTTCTAAAGCTAAATCTAAAATGTGCTCTTTGCTTTCTGTTTCTTATTGTACATTTTACCATTTTTTACTTCTTGCTTTTTTGTTAGGTTGTTTCTTCATTTTCTGGTTGCGAAATAAGAATTTATGACTCAACGAGGAAGGGTGAAGGGGAGGAAGAGACAGATAGAGATAAGAAATACAATTATTGATGAAATGGTCGCAAAGAAGATAAAAGGCAAGAAACAGGACGGAAAAGGGCATATAATAGATTAGATTTGAAGATCAATAAACAAAAAAATGTACATTAAATATTTATATTTGATTTAAATACGCAAAATTTGGAATTATATAATTGTACATACAATTTGTAATTTTATAAATTATTCCAGGATTATTTACGTATACATTGTAAATAAGTTGTTGTAAACAAATTGAATTAAAAAAAAAAAATTAATTTAATATATAGCAGCATAGTAGTAATAGTAAATAACTACATTGTGCTATTGGCGTTATCGATATTTGTACAATGGCTTGATACTTGTAAAATTCTTGAATATGATTGGTTTAGGCCCGGTTGTACCAACGTTACTTTGACTTTAAGCGCGAAACTTAAAATTCTATTTGTCTCGTTTTAAAGCTCAAAAAGAAACAGAGAGTTTTAAGCCTCGCTTAAAATCAAAGTAACATTGGTGCAATCGGTGCAATCCTTATACATTTAGATCCAGTGAGGAACTAAGGGCAAGATCAATATTAAAGAATTTTACAACAGTTGCAAAGCTGCTTTTTCTGCTGAATGCAGCCAATGTATGACATACGCTTGTACGTACGAATGTTTTACAATATTAATTTTTTTGTCCCGTTTTATTGAAAATTAAAACGCTATTGAAAAATACATAAATAATGTCAACTATGTTTAAGTAAAAATGCTTTAAAATTATATAAAATTAATGTGATAGAAAAACAGCGCAAAAATGTCAATGTAATAAGAAAAGTTAATTATAAATCATAATTTTTTACATAGAGATTAAGATCTAAAACAGATCAAATGCTTCTTATAATGTCGCGTATTTTATTATCAAATAGCTGATATTTATCTGCAATTAATATTTTTAACATATATCGACTGCATAATTAAATGCGGTTAGAACTATTCAAGAAAAAAATAAAATTTTTCACATAATATAATTATATTTTGCCTCTAAAAAAATGAAGTTCATTTTATCATGTTCAAACATTATTGATTCAAGTAGAATTATCATGAGACACCTGTAAAAATATTATTTTATAGAATTAATGTATTTTCCGATTCTTTTCATCCAGTTTGCTGTATGGTATACTATTAATTTTTATACTTATTGTGAAATATATATTATGTTAATTTGATGCATGTGTGTGTGTTCCAATATACGTATGCATAAGGACTGTCCTAAAAGTATCCGACCTTTACGTATATCTTTATCTTTGGTCATCCTCTTTCCTCTGTAGAAAACAGGCATTTGGTATTCAGGGGAGAGTACCTTGAGGAGTATCCCCATCAAGCGGTACAATCCAACAACTATTCAATTAGTAACGGTACGCAGTTGTGTGAGCTTCGAAAACTCCGAGGATCGCATTTTACAATGACCGAGCGAGTTGAGCAGAGAATTTGCATTAGATTTTATCAAAAACTTGGCCACACATGTTTCGAGATAATCGGCATGATCCATAAAGTTTATAGCAATGACTTTATGAGTGACAATGGACGACGAGAAGTCTCGATCCAAGAAAGTGTGCTGGAGTTGGAGCAACGTGAAGGCAATGCTCAGTTTTCTTCAACCAGGAAGATGTTGTACATCACAAATATGCTTCATAACATTGTCGTATAATAAACAAAGAGTATTACTTGGAAGTTCTGAAACGATTGCGTGACACAGTGAGGATCTGTTGGCTATCACACACAAAAAGTGACTTCCAGGACTGCTTTTGGAAGTGGACCACTGAAAGGATTGCTTCAAAAGGATACTACTTGAAGGCGATATTGTCCATATCCAGAATAGCTCTTTCTCATTATATAGGCAGTTGGATACTTTTGGAACAACCTCTTATATTTACATGCCTAACACATATAGTGTGCATACCTAATTTAAATATATATATATAACACAAATGCGTGAAAATGGCAAAATTAATCGTTGAATTAATTTTCAATATACTTTATACATCATGATAAATTTAATTATTTATTTTATGGAAATAATTTGACACTAAAAAAAACGAGATGATTAACGCGAATGTAGCTATATTAAATATGTAAATGTATGTTTAAAATTATATAAAAATTTTCTGTTTAACAGTTTTGCGTTATATAAATATGATATTGTGATATAATTATTAGTTTTTAGTTGCATTGTTTTTATAGTTAGATTCAAGGAATCTGTTATTCTCTGGAAAAAAATTAACTTTTAATCTTCTGATATTTTCATAATTATTTATATTTATGGGATTTTTCGGTATTGTCAGTGAGCAAGAGTAGCTTTATTCTTTGCTGCAAGCTCCATTTGAGCAACAGCTACAGTTTTCATGCCATCCTGTACAGCCGAAAGATTAGCTTTCCATGATACGAGTAAATCTCGCAGTTGCATCCATTGCGGACGACCAAACGTTCTATGCATTGTGCTCGAAATTAATACTTTACGGCCAGCTTGATCCATGCGCGCTCTTACAAGTTTCGTTTTTAAAACTGGAACAATATTATTTACATCTTGTGAATATTATTACACGATCATAACATTTCGTATTTTTCTTAAAAGTTTGTTTCTTAACTTTGTTGAATGCTTCGATAACTTAGTGAAAATATAATTTTACTAAGTCAGTACAGATTCATTTAATATATCCTGTCAAAAATCAGCTGCCACTTAAATAAACAATAGTGTAAAACTATGTTATTTGAACAGGATGTTAAATGTTATTTATTATAAATAAAATTTTAAGAGTAAAAATGGTTTACCATCAATTATGAAGCTTTCTACTTCAGATTCATCAATCTGCAATTCCTCTTGTATTGTATCAAAAGACATTTCTGGATTTGTCTCTGCAAGTTGCATAAAGGTCAATAGCCTCATCTTTTTCATGTTTTGTTCATGATTTAATCCTATAAGAAAAAAAGTACATCATAAATTTCATTTTATTGAAATAAATTCAAGCTTTACATTATCTACATTATGGACTAGATATATACCAAGTTGATGTTCTACAAATTCTCTATGATGTTGATAAAAATGTAAATACGCTGGTAATTTATCTTGTACAAATACAAGAAGTAAATCATGTATTAATTCGCCTTCTAAAAATCTCACAGGTTTCAATGCCAAAAGCGGATCTAACAAAAATGTATTTGGATCTGCTAACGCAGCTAATATACAACGCTGTGCATCTTCCCTAGCTGCGGAAGCATTCTCTGCTGTATAAGTTCCCAACAATTCTACCATAACAGCTGCTGCTTGTTCTCTAAAAAGGATTATACAAATTCCTTGTAAAATATATTTTATATTTGAAATTATTTCTACATTGTATAGAAAATAAGTGAGTGTGTTAGAAAGAGAGGGAGAAGAAGAAAACACAAGACATTACCCTTGTTTGCAACTTAAAAGAACTTCATGCAACAAACGCAATAACTTTTGCATTTGTTCATTCGATGGAGGAAAGGAGGCAAATTGTTGCTTTAATTGATCTATCCCACTATACACAGCTTTTACTTGATCAACATTGCGGGCTATTTGTACCAAGTGGTAATAAACATGGTATCTCATTGGAGAATCATCAGCAAGAGATTGGAATAAGAGCCATAAACTGCAAACGTATATCATTTGAGAAAATTTGCAAAAATTTTCATATTAATATTATTAAACACTATAATTTGCTTTGTAACCAAAAATACTATTATTTCTCTTAATAAATTTAAATATGATTTGTTATATTAAAAAATAATGTTATATATATGAATTTGATAAAAATTAACAATGTATTACGCTTTTAAGCAAACCAATCCAAGCTTATATCCAGGTGCTTTTACAAGTTTCTCACAGAATGCTAAAATTAAATTTTCAGCGCGTTCCGTAGGTATATAAAATAAAATCGGTAAAAATAAAAAGGAAAAGTAATATTTAATTATCTATAATAAAAAATTATCAAAATGTTAAACTTGCCAGAATCATGATAGATACAATGTCATTCAATACAGTTTCTATTTCGCTTTCATTTCCTTCTTTGAAACATGCCTCGCATACCCCAATAATCTTATGCAAATCATCTTCTATACCTTTAGGAGACTTCTCTTCGCTGATTTCTGCACCAAGACTTTTAAAATATACCCTTAGTTCTTGCGCCTAAAATAACAGTAATAATAAGAATAATAATATTAAAAAGATAATTATACTGTTTAGCTATAGCACTTTAAAAAACAATAAAATTAGACTTATTCATTGCATTTTTGCACGGAATAAACAAATCTAGTAAAAAGTGTCATTCTGCCCTACAAACCGAGATATTAATTCTTAAAGTTGACAGATATTCAGATTAGGAAACTGTCACACCAATGGTATAAAGGGTTACACAAATTTTGTTTTATAAAGAAAATTTTTTGCTTTAGAAACAAATTTTCTGCTTTAAAAACAAATCATTTTCTATATCATTTTTGTTTTTACAATATTTAGAGAATTTGTTTTTAAAGCAAAGAATTTGTGTAATTTTTTGAAGCAGAAAATAGTTATTCTCACATGCTTACATGTTCTCATGTCCCTCTATGCCATCAATGTGATAGATTTCCAAACCTGAATAGTCAACTTTAACGATTAATACCTTGATCGACGGGGCAGAGCGACACTTACTTCTGTCAGATTCTTGCATTTCAAGCAAAAACGCGTCGAATAAGCCTAATGTCATCAAAATCGGTGAGCAGAACATAATTCTAGGCAATTATCGAATTTTGTATGTACCGTACTCTTAACACTTTTAATGTACATTAATTTTGATATAACCTAAAAATATCACAGATAAATTTCAAAGATGTGTATCTGTCATATTCTTATAATTGTTACGTGCGTATGCCACAAAGATATATTCCTAAAAAAATTAGTTAAAATATTATTTAATTTTGCAAATTCACCTGATCATCTAACGACAATTCCATAAAAATTGGTGGAACCTGCATTTTGACGAACGATACACGTTTTCACTGTAATAAAAATCGATTAGATAAGGATAGAGAGAAACCTCTCTCTGGCTGCGGTCCACCTAAAGCCGGTTCTACATTAGTTGCAAGCCGATCGCAAATTTGTTGTGACAGCCAAT